TATATATATATATATATATATAAAATTTCTATAGGTGGTTCAGTCCTCACAATAGGTTCTTGCGTTTACCTGAAATATAAACTTCAAATCTAGAATTTGATAACCGTAAAATTTAATACTTTGAATTAATAACTTGATAATAAAAAAATTTTTTCAATTTTTTATTGTCAATTTTTCTTTTAGAGAAAACGGTAGTAATGTAGTCCTGCACATTAACAAAAGACGTTTATCGTTAAAAATCCCACGTTACTCAGTTGTTAGAAGGTCACAATATGAAAAATACTGACAAAATTTAGATTTAGTTATGTTTTTCAGCAAAAATACAATTATTTTAACTCTCTTACTTATTCAAAATAAAAAAATAATGTTACTAATTTAAAGTATAAACTCGTTACTTACGAACTTCAAACCTCGTTAAACTTAACAATGAAAATCAGATAAAAATCTTTGGTACACTTCGTAATAAACATCAATTGTCAACAAAAAGGTTGTTGTATCAGTCGTGACGGCAACTGTTTCACAACTTACCTAAACATAAGTTAAAAACTTTTTGTAAAAAATAATGTTAATTATAACAGAATTTTAAATGGATCTTTAAAATACCTCACACATTATCATCTTTTCCTCTTCAAAAAAGAACAAAAAAAAAATAAAATTTCCCAATGACTTCAAACAAAAATGTGTTAGTTATTTGAATAGAAGAATAGTATGTTTCGTATCTTCTAATAGATGTCTAGGAGTGCGTTCCATTTGGCGCTCACAATGCTCGCGAGGATTATTTGTTCTAACATTTGATAAATAAGGATAGTTGCGAGCGTTAAATGGAACGCAGATCATTAAGATATAAAAAAATTATATTATACCTATAACGAAATAAATAAAGGAATAAATCATTATCTTGCATCTCGGAATAAAACTGGAAAAGAACAATAATTGAACAATTTTTGTAATTTTTATAAAAATTACAAAAAAAATTATTATTTAATTAATAGAAATTTAATCGATTCAGTATTGAGAATATCTGAGATTTTGGAACAATAAGCCTTTATGAATTGTGACATTTTTCCTTTCAAATTAAAACAAACGGATGGTAGTACCGGCTAAATGCAGTTTATGCAGTATTACATGCACCCGCGAGTATTCGATCGTTATATTCCTACTAATTTCTTTCTCCCTTTCCCTCCCACCGCCACGAGGTTCTGACGAAACTATTCTTATGCTGTTCTCCGATTTTTTTTTTCTAATATATTTAAAATTTATACTGTATTCAAAATTAATTTCATTATATATTCTAAAATTTCTGAAATATCACCTCGAGAGACAGCACATTTCACGACAGCGAGACTACAGACGAAAATGATCGAAGCTGTCTAATTGACAACCTCATGCGACAACGCGACCCCTGAGTCATCCACCGCAATTCGATCTTCGATACAGCCACGTGGAAACCGATAGCCGCGTCGTTAAAACTCTCGAAATATACATTAAATTCGTAAAATATCTTCTCAATCTCGGAATGCTGCCCTCGTAAAAATCTCCCGTGATTCATTGAACTACAGGTTCCAACCCCCATATTGCTTTCATTAAGCCTAATATTCATGGGCACATCCGGAGTCGATTTTCGAGGGAACCAGGGAAAGATGCCACAACTGTGTTACAAATTAATTATCCCCTTCGATTTTAATAGAAAAAAGCAACTGTTGACCTGATTGCCGGGTGCAACGCGACATTAATTTGTCGATCGAACCCTCTACCGGTCGAAGCATTTCTCAGGGAAAAAGGTGAGCGACCGCGTTCAACAATTCATCTTATCGAGATGATTCAATTTAATGTCGAGATGATTTAATTTACCATGCTCCGAATCATTTTTCGTGCTGACCAGCGCGCGTCGTATTCTTCGGCACGTTGCTGGAGAAACGTTGCTGATCACGCGAGCTCATCCGGTAGGAACGAACTCGTTCGCGTTCGAGAAAGACACTCGATGTTCAGGAGGACCAGCGATCAACGGAGTCAGCACCAGTAACACTCTCTGTCGTCTGACGAGATGCAATCACGACGGCTTCCTTGAAACTTTTGCGGCCGCACGCTCTTCTCGGCGATACCGCTCAGCTCAGGTTCGCGTGGGGGTGAGATATTGATCCGACAATTTACCCGCGAAACGCGTGCCGCACGTCTGCGAGGGATGATGTAACTCAATGGCGATCAATGAATGATCTCCAATGACACATCCGGGCCGGTCGAATTCCATTGGAGCACTTTCGTTTAGTCTTTTTCTCATTTTCTTCAACTTTCGGTATGCAACATTCGTCCATATGGATACTAAGGGAAAAATCGAGTAAAGCATTAACTCATTTCGAGGTATCGATTTCAGAATTGCAAAATGTTCGACATGATTTTAACGCAAAATTTGATGCATTATTTGATGCTGAAAAATAAAAATATAGTAAAATATAGAAACTTTGAAGAATTTGACTGAATTTTTCCCTAAAAAGGAAAGATTTTTTTCTTAAATAACCCTCATTGCGACTTTTAAATGTTGTAATAAAATTTTCCAGAAAAACACTTTTATACTTTAAAAAATTTCAGTATTTTTTGTGCTCAAAATTATTTAATTAATAGATAAAACTGCTTTTTTTTAATTTCTCGAGTCGCATTTTGGAACGTCCACTTAGAAATTAAAAAAATCAACTTTTAATAAATGAATATCAGGATATTTTTAAATATTGTAATCTTAAACATACTTGTTTTATATTTTATTTCAATTTAATTTCGTTTGATTTACTATGTCGCTTAATATTTTCTGTTTTCTCTTAATCAATTTAATAAAACATACTAACGACGTTATTATTATTATTGTTTAATTATCATTCAGTTATCACATGTAAGTGATTCAATATACACTTACATAAGAAATATATTGCAGACATATATGTGAACGCGAAAACAATTGACAATGAAATATAATTTCTTTCCAATTATCATGTATTTTCGATCGAGAATTATTTTTGCATCTGCAATTCATTTAATATCATGTACTGACTTATGAATTATTTATAGCAAATTTGGTTGAACACACTAATGCATATTAAAGACATCGTACATTAATCTAAATAAAAATACAAATACGTGATTTACTAAATAGAACAGTAAAATCTATTGATGAGTCTCCATAATTTTCCTCGTTTATATATATATATATATATAT